GGAGATGACGAAAAGACATCGTTTCTCACGCCGATTTCTTCTCACTTTGATGGGACTTTCTAATCTAACAGCACATAACCGACTGTTAATGGGGATCCAATCGACTAGTGCTGCCTCAGCTCTAGCGCTTAGTGCGACACCAACGCCAGCAAGACCAGACGAAGATGCCACAGGGTCCCCGGATAAGCGCACGTAAAACAAGCTTTTCGAAGCGACAGATGGAGATCGAATTTGTAGTACTTCGCCAGAGTCTTGAATACGGGTCTCGGATAGACAACACACGTCGATATTAAGACTTTCCAAAGACATAGCCAGCCCTATCTGTTGTCCGACCTGCATAAATGTGCGAACGTTGAAGGCAGCCAGTTTGAATGGTGCACGTGGTTTCAGAAAATCTGCTTCAGTCCTCGTATTCGGTGGTAACATACAATTTTCAACCAGGCAGTGACTCGAGAACGTTTAGATACAGTCGGATTTCCACCAAAGACGAGCCGCTGTATAGGTATAAAAGAGGGTGAATAATGTGGAAAATAATAATAATAATGATAATAATAACAATAATGACAATAATAGTAGTAATAATAATATTAGTATTAATAATGACAATAATAGTAATGATAATTATTTGAATCGACTGATTGTTTTTCGGAGCGAGAAAATTAGTTTTCATAGACATAGAGAGTTCATCATTTGTGTGTGGGCTGTGATACTGCCCGGGTGCCCAAACTGAAGCAGGGGTTTTTCTTGTGGGACCACCCCCGAGCCTTTGACCTAAAGGTCTAACCCACAAGGCAGTGGAGCATCGTAAGGAGATGCAGTCCCATGGTAGCCGGTGACCAACGATTGGTTCATACGCCATTTGTTCCCGCAGGATACTGGAGCCCATGTGCACCATTGATTTGGAATCCGGTTAAAGCGCCGGACATTCGCTTTTCGTCCTCTCATTTTCGTAAACAACACCCCCGCCACGAGAAGGCAATGAGTAGGACTTCCCTGGCAGAGGCTGTATACGCGTGGCCGTGTGAGAGTATTTCGAGAGGGAGAGCGGACTCTCCCCACTCTCGGCCGTACCAGGGCATTCAGGGGGCCATTTTAAATAACTCCACCAGATTTATCATTGACAATACCCAGAAAGACCTAACAGATGCGACAGAGAAACGTGTCTTAAGAAAGTTGAGAGAACTTGTTAAGAAAAATCTAATAGATAATCATACGTATAACGAACTTAAACCAAAAGGGTCACAATTGCCATACTTATATGGGCTACCCAAAACACATAAACCCGACGTCCCTATAAGACCAATATTATCGATGGCCAAATCACCTTTCCATAAACTTGCCCGCTGGCTTACTAGATGCTTGGAACCAATCCGCAAAAAACTAGCAGCCTACAGTTTGAAAGACAGCTTTGAATTTGTACAAAAACTTGAAAACCTTAGTGTCTCTGACAAATTCATGGTTTCATTTGATGTCACTTCGTTGTTCACAAATATCCCCTTGGAAGAAACGGCAGAGATCATATGTGAATATCCAGAACTCCTGCCTTTACCACCCCAGGAATTTAAACAGCTCCTGTTTTTGTGTACAAAAAAACATACAATTTAAATTTAACAATGTTTTGTACCGACAGATTGATGGAATAGCAATGGGCAGCCCTCTAGGCCCAATTCTTGCCGATATATTTATGGGACATCTGGAACAAAAGAAACTGAAGCACGCAATCGACAGTACCACACTCTACTGCAGATATATGGATGACACGTTCCTTGTCTGCAAAAATCACCAACACTCCATGTACCTACTTAGTCTGTTCAGTAAAGTACACAAAGATATAGAATTTACCATGGAATATGAAGTTGATGATAAATTCCATTTCCTAGATATTGGAATTAGGCGAACATCAGACGGTACACTACAAAGACACATTCACCGCAAAAATACTTGGAGCGGAGTTTATCTCAACTTTAACAGCTTCTGTTCAATGAGTAATAAAAAAGGTATTGTGCGAAACCTTTTTGACCGCGCACGAAAAATCTGCTTAAAAGAATGCCTCGAAGAAGAAATTACTACAATCACCAAATGCCTACGTGAAAATGCATATCCGGATAAATTCATCCACAAATATGCTAATACAAACCCTCCGATTAAGCATGATACAGTTGAAAAGAAAACCTGCTTCCTATCCTTACGCTTCAAAGGAGATGAAGTCGCCGGAATTATCAATCACAGAATTAATTCCGCTTTAAAAGTGACCTACCCGGCAGCCAAACTGACTACGTTATGGAAAACATACTGCTCACTGAAACAAACGAAAATCGACAAGTCCTCTCCCCTCAGTTGCTCCAACTGCATTTACCAATTCACATGTACGTGCCGTAGCACATACATTGGAAGAACTGAGAGAAGAGTACAGGTTCGCATTTCTGAGCATATTCCGAAGAACTTGACGCTGCGAGGGACTAAAGCTTTTAACAGTGCAATAGCTCGGCATCTACTTGACACCGGGCATACCGTCGATATTATGCACGCGTTTAAAATTATCAATAGACAAAGAACTACTACCACTCTCCGCTTTGCTGAAGCCATTGCAATTAAGAAACTGAAACCGGACTTATGCATCCAAAAAGAGACTTTAATAAACTTATCACTTCCCTGGTAATCTTTTTGTTTCTGTTTGTTTTGTGTTTTGGTTATTTTATTCATTTACTTATTCTAAGATAATTTATATCGCCCCCCCCCTGTTACCGAATTCTTAAAATAAAATTTTATTTACACATTTCCAACACCTGATCCTCTTAAATCATCTTAACTTTCCAAACCCTATTTAATTATTATTACGTAATCTACCTTATCATTATTTAATTCCATTAATCTCTACAATTATCACACAATTTATGAACTTCACTAAATTATTACACCACCCACCCTGGATTAACCCCCCTCTTTTGACCTCTGACCTGTTTCTAGCATATATATATAGTTATTATTGTAATCACGTTATTTAAACTCATTTATGTAAATTGTTTCACACTATCTCCATGTAAAAATTCTATCACAATTTTGGTTTGTAAGCAGCTGACGAGAAACCTCGAAATAATATGAATTCATACTATTCTGCATCAATGTTTGTTCTTGCTCTATTTAAATTCATAAAGGGAACCAATTGCATGAGAAAAAGTACAATCAAAAAGAACTCTTTCAATCAAAGAAGTTACTCTCATTTTCATGAAGTAAAAGAAAGTTGCAGCAGGATCACTACAGGCTTCTATTCTGAACCACTTCTGACAATGTCGCAAGCCATTGTGTTGCACTATCGCTAGGACCACAACCAGGGAGTCGACAATGACTGACAGAAGCCTGTCTTGTACAGCTTTCTTTTATAGCACGACACCATGTCATGCACTGACCTCACCGCTTTTTCTAACCAGTCCCAGAGTCGGCAAATGATGCGCAATGCGAAATTCGTTGAGACAACATTAGTAAGAAATGTCCAAGCCACCAAAGTCGATGTTGAAATTTTCCACAGACACAGCTAACCCTATTTGTTGTCCGATCTGCATTAGTGTAAGGACGTTGAAAGAAGCGAGTTTGAATGGCATACGTGGTTTCAGAAAGACTGGTTAAGTATTCTTAGTCGGTGGCAGCTTTTATTTTTATTTTATTTTATTTGAACACATAAGTATTGGTACGATGGGGCATTAGATACATATGCGCCACATATCGGGCTCCCGAATGCCCTGGTACGGCCGAAGGTGCGGAGAGACCATTCTCCTCGAAATGCTCTCACATGGCTACGCGTATATAGCTTCTGCCAGGGATGTCATACTCACTGCCTTCTCGTGGCAGGGGTGTTGTTTACGAAATTGAGAGGACGAAAAGCGAAACTCCGGCGCCTTAACCGGGTCGATAGACACAGAGGGTCCACCTAGGGGATTTGAGAAACCCTGATTCCAAACCAATGGTGCATATGGGCTCTAGTATATCCTGATTGAACAAAGTGCGCATGAACCAATCGTTGGTCACCGGCTACCATGGGACTGCATCTCCTTACGTTGCTCCACTGCCTTGTGGATCAGGCCTTTAGGTCAAAGGCTCCGGGTGTGCCCCCCCCCAGGAAAACCACCTGATTCGGTCTGGGCATCCGGGCAGTAACACAGCGCTCACATAAATCTAATGAGATGACAATTACCTCTAATGTCGGTGGTAGCATTCAACTTTCGACCAGTCAGTGACTTAAGATCGTTTAGATAGGACAAGATTTCCACTACAGGTGAACTGCTGTAGGAGTTGAAGCATAAAGGAATAGACAAGTAACGCGATCTATAATAAAAACGAATGTTATCAAATAGTTTTGAGTATGATTTGAGAGAATGAGAATTAGAGCATGAATAATTTTTCAAGTTGCATTCATCATTTAGTTTATTTGTTGGCTAAAATACTGCCCGTGTGCTCAAACTGAAGCAGGTGGTTTTCTTATGTGGTCAGTCCCAGGACCTTCTAGCCAGAGGTCCAATCTACAAGGCAGTGCAGCAACGCTAGGAAATACAGTCTCACGTTAGCCATTTGTTCCCTCAGGATTATAGAGCCCATGTGCACTATTGGTTTGGAATTAGGGTTTTCCAGTTGTCGTAGGTGAATCCTTCGTATCGACCAGCTTGTGTAGTTTAGTGATTTGTTGCATTTGTTCACATTAACTCCACTTTTGTTGTTTTTTCTCCTCTCACTGTTCTTTGAAGTGGGACAATGATGACTAACTGACATTTGTGAAACAAACAAACAATTTTAGAAAATCAGTTGTCAAACGAATCCACAAATAAGACAAATACTACAATGCTTCGGATTTCTGGTTATAAACAATTTTCTATGCAAGAGGATGACTGTTTAACATTTTCTACATCATCGTTTTTTACTGTTAAAATATAGAAGAGTATTAAGTAATTATAATAGCAATATAATAAATGAATATACTGATCATCTAGCAATTGAATACTGTGACTAACCAACTGCTTCTTTCAAATAAAGATCATTCAATTCTTCGCTGATATTTTTATCGTCTGATATTTGTTGAGACAATATATTTACTGGGGATTTCGACCCATCATCGACATTGTCTATTTCTTCATTTGCTTTAGGAGAACTGTCATCGATAATAGGCCACGGGAGAATGGGACGGTTGAATGATGACACCAGGGAACTAAACGTGTACAAATAGAAAATAGCACACAACAGATCTATAAATCAAACTCAATCAAGAATAACGAATGGAAAAAGTTTATTCCGGGAAAACAAATAAAACTATGGGAATGAAGCGTGGTAACATTGGTCAACGATCTTCTAAAATTATTCAAGAAAATATGTTACGAATGTGGAGCGCTTCATTGTAATGTGTTTTGCAAAAGCACTATAGGCTAGTTGAATAAGTTGTGATTGATCCAAGTTGTTATTGGAATAAGAATAAGATGTTAGAATAAGATGATACAGAAGTAGGACTCAGGGGATACAAAACTACACGTTTGTAAATATAAATAAGCTGTAAATATTGTCCGCATGGAACGCGTCAGTTTTAATTTATTTTTAATCGTAAAACAAGCAAAGTTTGGTTCCACAGGGCACCAGGAAATCTCCTGCACGAAACGAACTAATATTACAACAAAAGAACGGAGAGAGAATATTAAGTAATACAAATGAACAACAGTAAGTAAGCACATAACCGCAGTAGATTTTTACTCAGTTAAAAGGTGCATTCGAACGTTCCATAGAAATAAAACAGACAACCATAACGTCAACACTGAACTTCCGTTCTTAATTATATCTGATGTCTTGTGCCATTAAAATGATGACTTTCATCGAAACATGACGAATCGAGAAACACCAGTAAAGTAAACGTATTCTTTTCTACACATTGCTAAACCATCAAATGACTACCTTACTTTACTTAACATTTTTGTATAATAGACAATTATCTGAGTGGTTCAATATGGTATTAGACTTGAAGGGAGTTGTCAAGGTGCTTTGGAAGTAGATCTGGAAGTTTTGAAATCGATTAACAATAGGCATCGGAAAATTTTGAGGAATGGTATGGACCATCAGGAATCGGAACTTACGCAACAGTTGAGAACTTCAAAAATAGCCCGCTGAAAGCACGGGATAGAGGATATCCGTTGATTTTGTTGAACTGTGTAACAACACAATGACAAAACAACATGTACAACATATTCATAAGAAATTGAAAACACACTTAAACTTTGAAACGTACCACACATGATCACCCATAACATGAAACACGGATACAGCTTTCCCCTTACCGGCACTCATGTACATATCGTAGTTTGACATAGCTGTATGCCCGATAGCTATTGGTGCGCTATATTACATCAAATACATAAAATATATATAATTACCGGTTGGAAGTTGTGCTGATACAACAAAGAACACCCTTCTCTATCTTATTAAATGTATAAGGAAGAATTGGACCATCAGTTACTACTCCAGGAAGCATAAGGTCTATAAAATGTTTGAATCTAAAAAAGCTGTATTTACCAGCCCCTTTCATTAGAACGGAAACTAAGTTCTCATGTACTTTGAAGTGTGGGAGGAGGTTCGGCAGATGCCATAGAAGGTAAACTTATCTAATATGAACTATAGAAGATGAAAAACTACCTGTGGGGAGACGTTCTTTTTCATTTTCAATAATTAAAGGAATATTTCCAAATTTGTAGATATTCACTTTTATTTCTGAAGAAGTTATAACTTTTAAACGGTGAACATCTTTTGTTTTAAAGATTTCCAAAATATTTGTAGGATCTAATTCATACTGATCATAGAATGAGTTTAGAAGTTGCTTCCTATAAATAAAAATTAAGTACAGAAATAAAGCCCTGACTTTTCACAAGACTTAATTTGAGAATTAGATCTCACGGCGAATGGTTTTAAAAACATTTTGTATCGTATAAGACAGGACCGTTAGAATCTAAAATAAAATAAACTAGGTGTTATAAAACAGTATTACTGACTTAACACTTCAAAGATGATCCGAAAATAGTGAATACTACTAGACGACATATTCTTCATTTTAAAGCCACCTGACTCGTTAGTTAAAAAGACAACGGATCTAAATATAATGGGCAGATGGCACGATTACTTAAGGGTTCAAGAACGGTCTTCCAGATGAGTGTAAAAAGGTTCAAAATGAAGAGCTAGGGCTTTAAATGACTTTTATCAACCGCCTAGAATTTTGTTAATAACGACAAAATACGAAAGTTAGAGTATCATTGAAAACAAACAAGTCGCAAGTTGAGAACAAACCCGAAAATTTTCCAGAGTTCCTCTCAATTGATTATCAACAAGTAGTTAGAAAATATTTACCATTTTCCAAAAATACCTTATAGCACACAGTGTAAGTGTTTAATTATTTCAGAATCTTGTACATACATTTTATTTTCTTTACCTACATACACGATTTTTACAAACGTTTTATTTGGAGAAAAGAAATTGATGGAACAACGGCGTAGTCAGTAGGTATCAAACGGGTTTATAAATATGATCAGATATGTGAGGATCTGGTCCCATAAACGAGTATTTATATAAAAAGCGACTCCGTCAATAGAAATAACTATATTCAGCCTTTACATACAACTGATATGAAAAGCCCGTATTGCCAGTAACACTTATTTAACGATTTACGATACTGACATGTATGTATTTTGGAGAGCCAGGCTAAGAATCGGTAAGATTGTGGATTATTAACATTGATCATTAATGTAGATGACTGTTGGTAGACGAAGAAACAAAAATTTGTAGCCTTTTACGGAGATACCATAACTGGCAAGCACACCAACTCTATGGGAAACAGGTGAGAAGTGCAGACATTACGAAGTAATCTTCAACAAGACAGAGTTATTCTACGCGCAACTGATTATTTCTATTACCGTTTAATATAATATATTCCTATTTTGCGGATAAAGAGATTGGATGGATATTAAACTTTTTCTAATATATGAACAGGACATACCACATAAATATGACCGTTGAGAAAGCGATAAAACAAGTAGGACAAACTCATGGACTAAAATCTTCAAGTCACCATTATATACTTCCAGTAACCTGGCATTTAGAACGGTCTGGCACTTGTTAAAATTTAGGTTACTTCATTAATGAAAATGTACATAATGCGACACAGCTTGAATGGAACATTGAAGTAGGTCCCCCGACTCTAGCTGAAGTTCAGAAGGCTATAGCTAATCTGAAACGCGGAAGGGCAGCTGGTCCAGATGGATTAGCTCCAGAGGTCTTTAAGGATGGTGATCTAATTTTAGCAATTAGGTTGACTAATATTTTAGCTAAAATCTGGTAGTTGGAAGTTATTCCATCTGACTGGTCATAATAACTTATCGTCCCAATATATGAGAGAGGGTTAAAATCATAGTGTGACAACTATAGAGGGATTATTTTGACTAATAAAGCATTTAAAATACTAGCCTCGATAATTATCGGACGCCTAACAAAAACTCGTGAACTTCAAACACGAGAAAATCAAGCTGGCTTCAGACCTGGTCGTGGCTGCATACACCACATATTCACCATTCGACAGACCTTAGAGCACAGGCATGCTTATCGGCATCCGATAATGGTGGTCTTTCTTGACTTAAAAGCAGCATTCGACTCTACAGAACGAGAGGTTCTGTGACAGTGTCTGTCATTGCAAGGCGTACCTCAGAAGTACAAAAACCTTGTGAAGGCTCTTTACTCGAACACTACTAGTGGAGTCAGAGCTTATGGCGAACTGTAATCTGCTTTTGCAACCTCAAGTGGTGTCTGTCAAGGCTGTCCACTTTCCCCATTTTTGTTCAACTTCATCATAGACATATTGATGGGAATCAGGTTCTGGTCGACTGAATTTTCGGGAACCGATCTCCTTCCAGGATGTCCACATATCGACTTAAAATACGCAGATGATATAGTCCTGTTTGGTGAAGACGCTGATAAAATGCAGAGTATTTTGATAGCACTGAGCAACAATGCCAGGATGTTTGGCATGCGTTCCTCTCCCTCCAGATACAAGTTGTTGCTTCAGGACTGGCCTCGTCAACACCTGAACTAAGGATAGGGAATAAAGTAGTCGAACGCGTCAATAACTTCACTTATCTTGGACGTCTGATCAACTCCAATGGGTTGGTGTCTGACGAAATCTCAGCACGGATTCGAAAAGCTCGCTTAGCTTTTGTCAACTTACGTCACCTATGGCGAAGGCGAGATATCCGTCTATCAATAAAAAGACGAGTATACTGCGCGGCAGTTCGTTCTGTTCCACTTAACGGCTGCGAAACTTGGTCATTAAGAGTAGAAGATACTCGTTAACTACTAGTATTTGGTTACAGATGCCTTGGAAATATTGCTCGCATCTGCTGAGATCACTGGGTAAGTATTAGTGAGGTTAGACGCAGGGTATTAGGGAATGATGGTAAATCAGTTGATGAGGTTGTGAATCTTCATTGACTGAGAGGGATGGGCCACGTGTTACGTATGCTTGAACACTGATTACCACGGCGTGCAATGCTAACCGGTGTTGGAGATGGTTGGAAGAAAGTTAGAGGCGGCCAAGCCAAATCGTGGCATCAGTGCTTGAAGTCACTAACCTCTGGTCTGAGCCATGTTGGTAGATGCAGACTACTTGGTTGGGGTCCGCGTGACCATCGGAACCAATGGTTGGAGACTCTTGGTGACATGGCTCAGAATCGATCACAATGGCGTAGGTGTATACACTCTACTTCTTCTCTTCAACCATGAGATTAAAATCGTCTCACATCTTTCTACGAATTAATTTTTTCTTCCTGTACTATATTCTTATATGCAATCTTTCCTGTATATATTACACCATTGAATTGACTGCTTCTATGAATCCAATGTTCTTCTTGCTGTGTTAATGAGGTGTGGCAACTTGGAACGATGCACATATGTTCCTGGTTATATGTTGTAACTGACTGACTGACACAACGTGATTTACTATAAGAAATTCCATACATTGATATTTCATGGAATATGCTGCCAGTGTTTTACGATCAATTTCAACTGAAAATGCACCGCAGAATATTATCTCGATGTTAAGTTATGTACACAAAGAGCCAACTATTAACACATGATGTCGTTATCGACGATTTCTTGAACAATTGTTCACGCGAGTGTAAGAAATTAATTTCTTACACTCGCGTCACATAACACCTTAACTCGTTCGCTGATAAAGCAGATAAAGAAAGTTAAAATTCGTATGTATAGACTGAATTACACGAAAAGACAAATAAATTTCCCTTTAGATACACAGTTTGAAAAGCTAACAATAAGGAGTTCCTATGTATATGGTTCACTGTTACAAAAATTAGGCTCGTGGCTCGGAAATAAGGCGCATATGCCGTACACACTGAGTGTAATTACATCTAAAAATGAACTCCGACACATCAATGACGGTTACAACTATTGAATCTATGGTCTTAACAACACGGTAACGTAAGATATAAAACTACGCACCTAGTCCTCAAGAGCACCGGTTTCAAAATCCAATGTCTTCACAGCATGCTTCATATAGTCTCAAATGGTTCTGGACTAAATGAAAGAGACTCTTGCTTAACATGTCCTCTTATCTAGCAGTAATGAATCATCGATGCCTACAGGTAAGAACCTAGATACGTTTATAAGAGAAAATAAAATTAGTAAATGTAAGAGAGATACTGTCCTTAGTCCATAAGAATATGACAAGTTCCCTTTTTAGAAACTCCTAGGCAGTCGCTTAGATTAGCTCAGACAGCGGCAAATTCCAGGATTTGGCTTCTCTCAAGGAATGGAAACTATGCAGTAACTATGCAAATGCACATGAGGTCAAATCTTCGCTTGCGACCAAGGATGGTTGTTCACCTGTCTACTACAGTTAGCAAGTTGGTTATGCAGGAGCGAACTTTCCCGAAACCGTGTTTTTGGGGTGAAAAGAAGTTTATGGATAGTGAGTAGTCGCGTAGACCGTCGCATGTTATAGGTTCAATATTTTTTGAAGGCATTGAGGGAAATGCTAAAAGCCTGTAGTTTGAAAGCACGCTGCGTCAGTTTCCTTTAAAAATTGTTGTAATATGAGTCAGCTTCCAATTTTCTGGTGTCGTGCATAGACCTAGCGAATATCTGAACATCACGCTAAGCGGTTCGCACAAGATTGAAGCTGCTTCCCTCATTATGGAAGAATGAACCATATCAGGACCAGGAGAAGTGTCTTTGCCTGGATGCTCCGGCTTCAAATATACCAATTCAGCTCTCATGTCTACTTCTGAGAGTCCTGTTTGAAATTTAAACTCTTGTTTTAGGTAGGATGACTTAGCTCAGTTTTGCAGATAAGAGTGAAGGCTATGGTTGCGTGATGATTTTCACTCGGGGAAGCCAAGATTGAGAGGTTGTCGAATAGGAATCTTTTGTTTGTAAAAACACAGTCTAGGCACAATTGCTTTTTGCTACTTTTCCGATGAGTTACTGACCTGACATTTTCGAATAATCCCATATCTTCAATGAGGTTGATGATGTCACAGGTATTCAGTGTTTGACAACGCTTCTACCAGTAACACCTTCTAATATATTTCGTTCTCACTCAGAGAAATCAAAAGACAGAGTCGAGGAGATCGGAAGAGTATATTTGGCGATGACCAATATATCGGAATTCTCTGATCTAATCTGGCTAGCGATTGCGGTTGATGTTGAGCACGGCGTTACCACACGTGATCTGGTGCGGATGCCTGACCGAGCGCCTTCAGCTAGATGAGTCCACTAAAACATATGGTCAGCATCCAATGTCGAAAACTTACAGAGCTATTTATTTTAGGGATTTATTTACCGCTACAGATCACTCCCCCCCCAGTGGCGCAGTGGTGTCCCTAAGACGTGGCCAGCCAGAAGTTTAAACCCAACGA